ATACGGGGCCAAATACGCATACGCAAGAGAACTCCTTGATTTGTTTATCTTCTTGAACAAGTAATATGTTTTGAAGATTTGATGTTTTTTTTTTATTAATAAGAGATTGTTAAAGTGAACTTTTTCTAGACTATGAGAATGTCTTTTTTTGCACGTCTTTTTGGAATGATATAGCACTTGTGGTTCCGTAAATTTGATTTTCTGTTAGTAACCTTGTTGTCTGAATTCTTACATGTACCAGGGGTACAAGAGTTAATCTAAAGGACAACTTTAAAAACTAGAAATAACACCACTGCTATCCTTTGATGTGTGACTATGAATATATACTCTAACATATCGTAATACGAACTCAAAAGAGATAAACCGAGGGCAAAGATGCATCAAGAAATACTTTACAAATAGACCCTTGAAGACTACAAAACATTTGGAGAGGTAGGTAGTATTTTCTTATTCTTGGGGGTAGTCGTTTGAAAAATGTCTAGCCTTGCCAAGTTCTTTGAAAAGGTAATACTAGTGCAAATAAAACGTTGGGCATATTGAATAACATACTAAACTTCATATTGTACATAATAGTGCAAATAAAACGTTGGGTATATTGAATAACATACTAAACTTCATATTGTACAACGACAATAAATCGATTCCATAATCATCCTTTCTATTAACAAATCTTCGTAGCTTTATTGCTTTTCTGAGATACTGTTGTGTATTTGTTTAAAGTCATCAATTAGATAAGTTAGGTTGAGCAATAATCTTACCCAATGACAGGTGTATCCAGGCTTTTACATGTGTGCGGATCCTTGTTTATGATTGCTACGAGGGTTTCTTTGTCATATCCAGGATGTAAATCGATGGTAACAAGAAAATGACGGCATATCAATTTATACAAAAATGAATAATTCCATGTAATGAGCTGACGATAATATGGTGAATATTTACAGGCAAACAAGACAAGATAAAAATCGTTCTTAACAAGTGATCGCGATAAGAGCGTTTCCACGAGGAGTAAGTTAACAAATACGTGAAAGCCTCGTTTTAGAAATTATGTAGAAATTTCTATTGGGTTGAAATTCCTTATTATTGTACTCGGTTTACTGTCGTTTTCATTACAACAGTAAAGGCATTGGAGTTACACCTGTTATAACAAACCGGTTTCTGATGGGAAATATGCGATCATTGTTCTTTCCCTGGAACCGTTAGTACTTTTGATTTCATTGATATCCGACGCTCTCAGACACTTTAAAGTTGGCATACTTGTTAAAGTGTAGGTAGTTCATAGACAAGGAGAAAACAGATATATACGTTTTCATTTTAAACTGTTATAGCATGTTCTATGTTATTTCCACTAGATTTTAATTAATTACGCGAGAAAAGTATGATTATATCATCTTTAAATAAGTTTTTTTTCATTGTAGTGGTATTTTTTCTCATATGGTGACTCCTTGTTTTACTACATTAGCAGGAAGTGCAATGGTTGTAGTTGCTTCATGCAACCTTCATTTTCACGGTGACAGAACAGATTCGTGGATTCATTCGAGTTTGGAGTAATAATCTATTCTGAGTATGTACTATAAAGCGACTAACAATATCACAGATACATAGGGAGATTTCGTAACAAAACTATTTGATGTATATCTCCGTTGTTAAACGATCCGTTTGTTATTTTCAGATACTACCTGGCGCCTGGTAAATTGAATGATCAATGATAAACATTTAAGCCGATGCTCACTAGATCTTCTCGACATACTTGCTCGCGTTTGCAAGATAATTGGTATGCTATAGATACGATTGTTTGGATATTACGGCTGAGTTCCTTCCCTTCATATGGTACATGAATTGTTCCCCCGCTTCTAACATCGATAGGGTGCACATATGTCATACCCAGATATATAATGTTGCATTACTAATTTGATGAACTACCTCCCGTAATAACGTCCATGGCCATGGGTGCACGCAGGATGATTACAGGTACAGTTTGACGAGTGCGTAGTGAAAAGATAAGTTGTTATAAATCATTAAAAAAGTTATCCAGTTTGTCTTCACAATTCTAAAAAAAGCTATTAAATGGTAAAAATGAGCCCAATTTTGATTCACATTTGAATATTTTCACTGTTTTCCAAATGGTTAATTCTAACAAAGCAACTGGGAGCTTGGTGAGACATACCAAACATTTTGCTTACCTTTGTAACTCTAAATGCTGATTGAGATCACTATAAAGGTTTAAATTATCCTTGAAAGAATTGTACATTACATTTAGTATGTGTAACAAACTCCTGTACGATACTCCAGCACTGATTTTTTACTCATGTATAATATATATCATATATTGGTAAGACCCAACCAGCGCAACGCCTTTCAATGCATCCAACATATCGAACTAGGCACATTTTATTTTATAGATAAATAAAGGGATTATACTATCATAATCATCATGTAGGTAATATCGTTCTAAATACTTCTAAAAGACAGTATTTTCCTTATTATCTTTGATGATTAAACGTTTTTGTTTTAATATTGATGTAATGAACTGTTACGAACTAACTTAATATCCTACGTGTAACTCGATTGAAATACGTCCTATAAACCTTACATCAACAATGATTGTACAAGATCATATAAGTAAATATTGTCTTCCATTTAGAATTTGATATTTTAGTATTTCATCAACAATTTCATCTAGCGAACACACAATTGTTGCATTAATAACTTCAACAGAAAACAGATCAATGAAACATGCCTGTGCAATATATCTAACATTGCATATTTGATTTAAGAAAAACTGTACCGATAACATATGTTCACGGTTAGAAATATTTTGATTAATATTGCAAATAACTAAATAACACCATTAATCAATAACAACACATTATTTTTTTCGGTCAGTTAAAACTTATTTTAACACATCATCATTATTGAAAGGAGTAAATAAAACAGAGAGAAATAAAACATATATTTTTCGATATTTTATTTAGCACTTTTCATATACACTTCGTCACAATCAAATCATTCATACATAACTTCATTAACATTCATTCCCCGTTCAGCTGACGAGCTCAGAAACAGGAAATGTAATTATTTATTTATAGAATGACATTAGTCATCGGCATGTCCCAGATTGGGAAAAATAGCCACATCAGCTCCCTGCTTATCGACTATTTTCTTTTGACTATACTTGATTTGGTTTATCTATATATAATTGTCAAATGCTCACTTCTACCACATTGTTCTAACACATTTACAATGTCATAAAACAATCATTTATCCTGTCAGATAATAATTATTTATTTTCACAAATAAATAGATCATTGCATGATATAGCCATGAAAATGCTAAGCCATTTTAACGAAAAGAAATCACTATCAAAGTGAATTCACTGATTTCAATAAAATGACTAAATCACGTTATTCCACGAGAAGGAACGTTCTGATTTGAAAAAAAATACAAATATATCGAAATTGTACAATAATTGGCCAGCAACTTAAATAATGATCTCATTTGCGTACACTTTGATGTCATAAATGGATACCGTTGGTGGCTGGATGGTCTTCAACAAATCGATGGATATTATATGTAAACAGTATCTATATATACACTTCTCTCTGGCATTGGGCATTCTTACTATTGACCCATAGGAGGATATCTCAGTAAAACTCACTTCGAAGAACGCAAAGTGAATATAGTGATGCAGAAGATAAAAGATGGGGATGGGGGTGGTTGTAGTGGGGGCAGGGGTGGGTGCGGGGGGTGGGGGTTGTTGTTTTCCAAAAAGTGTTTAAATAGGTTTTACTACCGTCACAAAATATCACGAATATGTTTTATTGATAGATGCCATCTGTATAATACTTATTCATAAATGTGGGACTGTTTCTTTGTTTCAATTGAATCACAATGAACTTTGTCATCATTTTTTGTTTATTTTGGCACAAGCATACACTTGAATAATGTTATATATAATTATACATCGTATACACAACGAATAATTTGTATTTACAAGAAAGGATATTCTATTCTGTACATGTAACGCCTAATACAGAGCTGTGTCAGAGCATTCAACCATACGTCAACCTACACACATACACATTCTACTATACCATACCATACACGTGCAATGTTCCTCAAACCACATTACAGCACACTATTCTTACAATTAAACTCAGTTCTGTGTAATACTTTATACATAAAAAATTGATTGTACATCCAACGGCTTTTTTTGTTGTAGTTCTCAACTCATTTACCTAAACCTAACCATCAAGAAGTAACTCTCATACGTCTTCACGCCCAAATATTTATTATACAGCAGCATATTTATAACATGAGTCGAATAAACATGTTTGTATGTAATATTGAATTTACGCCGGATGAAATACAAATGTACGTATTTCACAGATAAATAGGATAAATTCATGTGTGTTTCAGTTAGGAAAAAGAATGAGATGAATAGTATACTGGATTACTTTGTTTTTTGATCACAAAACGTAAGTTCTACTTAATTTCTCTTTTCCAATGACATATACCAAAATGTATGTAGTATTAAATCATTTCGTAGAAACATTATATTCATTTCTTAGAATCACCGTCATAAAAATATAGCTGAACAAAAACGTTACTTAAGCCCATGGTTATGCTATACGTAATTGGACAACGAAGATTTACACTCTGGCGATGCATGCAATATACAGATAGGAGAACACATGACCCATTGCAGAGAATTCAAATCATACATGATAATGTAAAATTAGAAACATATGTAATAAATATCACAATATAAACATACACGAAGAAATAAATATTTCTTAAATGATAATATGATTTCATTTCCTTTTTTCTTTCTTTTTTGTGAAAAATTATGATTAAATCATTATTGATATTTTATAGATTGAAAATAAAAGTAAAAAGAAAGAAATGTTTCGTCAATTTTAAAATACGATTTCAATGATTGAAATTAACTGAGTTCATGAAATATTTGAATTGGAATAACTGAAAATGTCCAATAAGACACATCATGATATAACGTAAAAAACGTAAACAGTATAGGATAAAATACAATATATAAACAAACTCTTCGTTGCTATTATGATGTTACACGTGTTCATTATACGAACGTTCATAGTCCCAAACTGACCTGCAAAGTAAGTAAAACTTTTACATTAGTAATTTTTTTTGTAATTTTCAATAAAAAAAGGAATGTGAAAATGGTACGTTGAATTTTCAAATTTTAAGATATTTATGTACAAAGCATGTAAATATCGTAAATTGATAATTGTGTGTAATGTGTGCATACATTTTGAGTAACGACGCATAAGATGAAACTCAATTAAATGTTACAGACATTTGGAACGGACGATGGCAGACCAGTTGATGTACTACTTTTGAAATTCTATACTTAGAATCCCGGAATGCACTACGCTTTGTTACTACATTAAATATTTGACTTGGTTTTACAGTTGTATCGATGCCGTTGGTACCCAATGTAACAATCTTGAGATTCAAATCAAATCAAAGTAGTAGTATTCCGAGATCCGTATGGTATAATCTCATATCATACACTTTTGAAGATAATTACACGATGTTGTAGTATATATTCATTCACATATTTTCTACTACTCATGTGGCATCAAACCAGGAAAGATATCGCTTTATCCAACAAGCACACACTATCGTCACAATTATAAGCATACTATTACCTAATATTTGAGTATCTGATGATTTATGAATTTGTGCCGACTCCCCGTTTTGACTACGTATGGTACCACTCTCGAGTCGGCCGTCTAGTGTGTTGACGCCACCATTGTGATTATCCTGTTTCACTCTTTGTGGTGTAGTGGCTAGCGTTGTTACTGGGGGCGGCGTAGGAACGACATATTCTGTAAAAAGTAAGGATATTATAAAAGTTATTGGTATGTTATGTGTATTGTAATGCTGAGGACATTGAAAACAAAGTCATATTCACAATCTGTAGGATTTGCAATTTCGTGCCAAGTGTTTATGTATTTCACTTGTGTCGGTCTGTGCATTTTGCTTTCGAAATCTTGTGTACACCTGCCCTTTTCTTCACCCATATCATTATTGCAAAAGGAGTTCGCATAAGGAAAGAATCGGTTCTGATAAATCTATCTACCGTACAATGTGAATGGAAAGGTTTGTAATCCGCAATCGCAATCACCTTTGTACTTTCAATAATTGATTAATTTCCATAGAAACATACCTGACTGTTTCGTTAGTAAAAACCACTGTATGGAGTTCTTATTCTCTAGATATTGCTCGCATACCTTGAAATCATTATTTATCGTATGTAAACGTTTTTTACAAAGAAATTTCATATGTAACTTAAAGAATTTGTACCACCGTGTTACATAGGACGACTTACCATATAAGAGCATATCTCTCTTGGCATGTCCTAGTTTATTGGCTGCCTCACAAGTGTATGTACCAAAATCCTCAGGCCTGACGTTTTTAATCCTGAGCGTCAAGGAAACCGTGTATTTGCTATCCTCGAACACCTCCAACTGATATTTCCATCCCTCTTTTATATCCGGTTGAATGTTTCCAAAACGCCAAACGTTTGATCCTTGTGGCGAAGCAGTAATTATACATTCTAACATGGTTTCCTTGTCAAGATATTGTCCAATGCGTTTGTTTAGTAGACGTATCTCCGGTTTAACTGTAGAAAGATACAATATGTAACAATAAGTCATAAGCTATAGGTTTATGATTCAGAGTGTCCTATCTTGCAGCATTATAGGAACTTTGTAACAATAACATATTTAATGAGAGAATGATGAATATGATTGAACCTTTTTTCCTGCATAGCATAGGGGCAGCAGGTAAATGATTGCCTGTATCGTGTCCTTCATCTATAGTTTCTTTCATTAATTTGTCCTAAATTTGTTGTTTTGAAAAGTGCTACGCTGTAATCATAGGGGCAGCAGGTAAATGATTGCCTGTATCGTGTCCTTCATCTATAGTTTCTTTCATTAATTTGTCCTAAATTTGTTGTTTTGAAAAGTGCTACGCTGTATTCATTTATGTGCATTTTGTACAATCCCACAGAGGGGAGTCTGGCATAGTGCTTTGTTCGCTTGTTGGATTTATCGACCCTTTAACAGTCAGGGAAATGTTCATTAGGTACCTCATCGTCCTAGTGGTGACTATATAATTGAACATCATGCAAGAGGCACGTCATATATGATCTGAAGGATGTATATACATGCGCGAAAGACATGTGGGTTACAGTAGGACTCATTACGTATATAAATCTTATTTAATAAGAATTGAAAAAGACTGATATAATTCACTAGATGTGCGTTAGCATTACTTATCCCATTGTAAAAAACATATGATTTAATTTTCTAATGAATAATGTATATACATCAAATAGTCTTTTTTACATGTTTAGTAAGAAATTTAGAATACTGACTAATTAATGAACATATTATTTAATTTTCTCATCAAATAGTCTTTTTTCATGCGAGACGACTTCCGGTTTTCAAAACGAGGCTCAGTATTCTTCCAATGCGACCGTGATGGCTCCTGTCACCGATATAAAAGCTTAACGCAAATTTTCATTATCGTATACCATTGTGCAACTTATTTTCAGTTCGTTGGCCTTTACGGCGTCACTTTGAACGGGGTTTTGGTTAACTCGTGCCTATCTGTACAGATACACCAAATATATGTACATAAAGGTAGATATATTCCTGTGGAGTTGTTTTCCATTCTGTAGTGACTAGTGAGTACAAAACCATTTCATTAAATGTCTATATCTATATATAGCCAGTATGACATTTTCAGTACCTTATCTACATAATATATATTATTCCATAACTAGATCTGAATCAAGGGTATTTACATTTTTATTGTCATTTTAGGTTACAGTGTATACGTTTTTTTTTTTTTTGTTAAAGACATTTTAAACAATAAGACAATGTGTTAAGTCTAACATGTATTTACCATTTCTATTTTGACTTTATATACTCAAAACATCTTAAATTAGAAGAATGTCATCCTTTTGCAAACAGTAAACTGATGTTAATCACTCTCAAATCTGTCGATTTTGATTTGTGAAAGTGACTTGTAGTCATTGCACCAATTGAACACTTTCAATTGCTGTACATTCCATTAACTTGATGACATGATAATATAATCTTGAGATGACACTTCTGTGAATTTTTACTGATTATATATAAAATAGCGTTGTTCCATCCTCAATACTCCTGGGATTCAGATTACACCCTAAGAACACGTCATGACAAAACTGTAGGTCCCTTGTACGACATCTCGTAGACAAGACGAATAGACTCGTTTCATCTGTTGATATACATCAAACGAATTCCGAGGTCGCATAACGATATATTGTAATGGCTTTGATGTTGGGTGTCGCTCCTTTATAATCCTAAAAAGGAGCGTATCAGTCTGTGGTTGGTCAATGTTTTTCTCTTGAAACCAATGATATTACATCGCTTGCGCTTTCAATTTTGCCATGACATATTCCAGGAGTGCAGAGAGCGGAAGTGGTCGCAACCAGTGGAGTATCGATGTTGGCGTTGTCCATGTTCCTCAAAATTCTCAAAAATGGCAAGTTTGTGCATTTCATTAAGCATAACTATATCATTTTAGTTGTAAAATGTACTTCTTTTCTTTTTCGCCTATATATTTTATACCTATTTTCAACGAAAATACCATGAAATGACGCCGCTTCCCACTTTCATAAGTAAAATATAGGCCCAGAGAACTCATGGGATACTGATAACGTGTTTCAGCAGGTCATTATCAGCAGCGTTATATATTAAATCGAGATGAAACCATTTAAAGTGCGTCCGTAGTTGAAATTGGGAACAACGAAATTATGTTTTATTACATCAATGTGAGTATGGCTACATATGCAGGCTTAGATTAGACAACCTTCAAATAAAATCAGAAAATGGGCGACTTCTTTTTCCCGCGTTCCTCGGAGAATCATTAGTCTCAATTTCATATGATGCTTACAGGATAGTCCGGGCGAATCAGTTCTTCGTTTGCTTAATCACCAAAGGAATGTCTCTCTCCATGTCATATATTAGTCTGTCTGGGTACACGGCGCCGGGTCAAAGGTGGTGTAGGCCGGTTTACCAGGCGATAAATAATCCTTGACGTATGGTGCACTATTTTCCATCCGACAAATTTGTAATCCTTAGCGATATAGAACAAGTGATGCTTTACAATATTTTGTAAAGGTGATTTATGCTGAAAACTGCGCGTACTTACACTGCACTTTGACTTCTATCTGTCTCTGGACTGCAGGTGGAACTCCATTAAATGCCATGCACTCGTATATTCCTCCGCAGTACCTGCTGATGTTGCGGATAACAAGAACTTCCCCCTCTTTTCCAACTCCTAAAATGAATAAATATTGATAAATTTATTTGAAGTCGGTGATCAGATAATAAGATAAAATGGATTTGATGTATGTATAATCTAGATCTTGTTATGTCCCATTTGTTATGTGTCTACTCAAAAATTCTCTGATTATATTGTATCATTTACTTTCAATCTTGTTTTTCTTTTTAAGCTTTTGCATATCAGTTACATAACAAGAGTGAACAATCTGGAATGATACCGACCATAAAAAAGTGAATACGGTACCGGTAGTGAACTTCATTTTACTGCACTCGAAATGAAAGTATCGATATCTCCTATAGTTGAAATAAGATTTGTTCCATAATTATAAATCAACAAATTATTAGATGTGGCACAAGGGCGGTCGGAATTTGCTGATAACTTAACAGTTCATAACTAACTAGTGTTGTTCCCAAATCACCAACTTACGATGTGTAAAATGATAAACTTTGTCCTTAAGGAACTGACTACCATGAATTAAAGAACTTATCATAATAAAACGACAGCAACCACAAACAGTCATTACATTAGCTACAAAGCTATGAGCTTCCGAATGGCTCTAGGATGATATGATGATTATGATAAGAAGGAAGAATGACCGAAGGAAATATTCAAACAGTGCCTTAGAAGAGCTTTTCAAAACAGGTCACAAAAACCTTGTGAATCATTTCATTTCACTTTACGAGGCACAATGTATATTATTGTTTTTAAATAACAAGAGATTCGTCGACAATAATTATCGTATGTGTGTACTGACTAGAATTAGAAATCGAGGACACGGCAGATATTAGTCGCTTACTTCGATATTTTCTTACAAAGAAACCAATGTGGACAGCTTCCCCAGCAAAGCGGTATGATAAGTGTGATGATTTAATTCCCTTTAAGAGAATTTTCGATTTCTGGATAGCAACAACCTTGCATCCAAAGCTTATCAGGAGTTGCAAGATGTCGGCAACTGACAGATAAACTCACGACGCAGGGTTTCGAGATATGCACGTTGATGGAGATTATGGACAAATTTAACTGTCATTATAATGATCTCAACGAGAAACACGTAATTTTGCGATGAGAAGTCGGGAGTGTGTGAGGCTCGTTAGCGTGCCCGTTAGTTTCATAATTATTTACCTTGTTTTCTTTAGGAGCGTGACATTATTCACTTGGATTGACCAAAATTAATATGGCGGGTGTTGTTGATGAAGCAAACAAAAAAAAAAATTACTCTACCGGAATTACCTGTTTTTTTTTTTATTATCCCTTTACTTTTTTCATTAGTCTCCGGGTAAATATTTCCTTTGTTTTAATTTTGACATACTTTTATCAAATCTGAGTTTGGTATTTTTCTATGTTGTTGAAGAAAAAGGAAATCCCGGTGCTCTGGTAAATCAAGGACGACAATTATGTTTGTTACATAAATTGTCACTTAAGAGGAGTCTGTGGTTGTAACCCATGTGTATAGTGTGGTAGGCCATAATATATCGCTATCACTACTGCCGATGAAAATTACATTGTTCGTATTAAATGTGACTGCGTCGTTTTACAATTTGTAATGAGCTATATATTATCGCCGCTATATTTAGAGGGGCTTCCCGAACAATTTCATTGGTCAATTTAACCATTCTGGATAGATCTTTCGTATTGAAATATGAATGTGAAATACAGAAATAATTTGCGATGTAAACAAACTATCAATTCAATTTCTCGTAATATGTTTACCGTAATGTTCCCTTATTAAAACAAATTAAATACCTGTCTATTAATAAACTGTATAAGAGATCACTTTACGTAGTATTAATCGTAACAGATACAACATTGATAGAATAAACATACTTTCCCGCCCTTGTGGATTTTCGTCTGTCCGTCTATACCACGTGATCGTTGGAGGCGGGACGCCTGTGGCATTACACACCAGCTCTACGTCACTTCTTTCTCGCACAGTGAAAACATTGGAGGAGGGATAATCTAGGATCCGCGAGGGAACTGCAATGTATGAATCAATATTAATGAAGAATAAGTAGGTAGGCATGTTAGATACTTAAGATATAAAAACAAAAGTTATTAAGTAAAATTTATTGTATGGAGTAATGTATTTCCTGAACTTCGATGCACTTTGTACAGTCTTTGAGGTTGCAGATGGAAGGCACTTTAATGGGAAGCAGCATATTTATCAAAAACGAAATTCTCACAGGTCAGGAAAATAAAAAAAGCAATACTTGTGCTTCCGGAAATTTGGTCAATGTCTATCAAAGCAATACAGAGTTATCACATTCAGAAAATATGCATAAGATATGAATACTTGTCCGGAACTTCTGGTCTTCCGGTTCTGTTGACTATTTATTTCATTTTTCTGATATCCACAATTGATTTTTCTATTTATTGTGTCATGCGTTTTGGCGCTATTGTATAACATCGTTTTTAACGTTAAGTACAGACCCCAGATGAGCATTTGACATAAGTTAATAACTTTACAATTTATTTTCTATATACCAACAATGATAAAACGTAACAAATATAACAGTTATTTTTGAAGGTCTGGCTACCGCCATCATTTTGACATGTTAATATTTTCTTGTTTTTTCTTGTTTGTTTAGTTTTTTTTTCAAGAAAGGTGTCAAGAGGATGTTCAACATCGGTCTGTATAAACCTATATCAAGCGTCTGAGTAAATTTGCCTAAAGTAATGGTACGTTAAGGGTATCGCCAGTCAACGCAGCATGTGCGATTTCACTACGGATGATTTTTTTCCTTACAGTCGGTAGAAAGAAAGATGAGGTCAGGAAACTAGAAACTCATATAATTTTGGATCCTTCTAAAAAATATTACGTGGTTACCTTTGATTTTATTTATTAATTTGGTTTTACTATCTAGTCCATTAGCTGTAATGTTTGTTTACAATACGCAATCACAAAATTGTACCAATGACATATAAGTGAAAAGCATAGCTAGAAGTAGATACAGTAGAGACAATAATTAATTCAGATACACCAAACAGCTGCTTCATCAGATAAATGCCGAAAACCAACGAGAACGTGTATTGACAGCAAACCTAACCAATATTGAAATATTTCTAAAGAATGACAAATCCTCTGTACTTAAGTTTCACCAGCGGTATCTACCAACAACATGTCGAAAATAGTATAAAGGTTGAACACGTGAATGATACATCTCAAGACAAATTAGAAACAGCTGAGTCAAATCATCAACTAAGCCAACTTCGTAGAAGTAAGTACCAAAAACCAGACCTGGAGGGGTGATACATCGAAATTCAGTAATTTTCTATATTCAAATATTTCAAAAGCACGTCAAAAAGTGTTTATTCTGAATCTTGCCACTTTTTAAATGAATTAAAACGTGGCATGTGGCATATGTAGTCGACATATAATGTCTACAACCTGCAATCTCAAAAATGGCACAAATAACAAAAAATGAACGTATAAAAGATGTTACACTTTCAAGACATCAACATAAATCAAACAGAAAATAGCTAATATCTGACTGCCACTTAAAAAAAAAAACTTAATGAAACATATTTTTGTCATGTCTGCTGACACATTCTGAGTCTGAATCTGGATGAGTCAAAAAAAGACATTTAACGTTTAACGTTATAGATGGCGTAACAATGTGACTACAAAGATTCCGTGTTATGTAAATAAGGACTTAGGATTTCAGATCTCTCATGTCTTTTGACCTGACAAAGATTGCAAACCAAGTATTATTTGGTTAACGAATCTGCCTCTGTCATGTGTTTAATCTCTGTTATTGCTTGGCCTCCCATTACAGAAACTGCAACACAGCAATAGATAGTCTAACTAGACATGTAACGAGGTAAGAGGGAATTAGAAATCCGTGAAAAAAACATGTTATCATTGCGCTTCGCCGTCGATCATTGAAAACAGAGGCAGCGCAGTTCTCCCTTCATTTTTCCAGAAAGGGTGCTATATTTTAGAAAATTAAAAAAAAGAGTCTAAATCAAATACGTTGAATACATTTTCTGTACTGATTTACCTTGCGAATGACATAATGACATCTTAACGACAAATGTTGTAAATAACAAAACTGTTCGCCTTACTGATATATGGTTATTGAACTCAAGGCGGACACTGTCTCCGAAATATTAGGGATACATAGACCACCTGGGAAATGAATGTAGTTTAGTAAGTTAGCACGTGTTTTGTCGAGGTGAAATTCAGAAAAATAAAATAGAAGTATAGGTCGGAATTTAGCTGGAACGAGGTATGTAAATGAGCTCCACTAAAATATTCAATATGTCATACCTAATTGTTTCAAAAGTGCAAAAAGTTCAGATATTCGTTTAACACATATTTGTGGTATCCATCCCAAACTAATATGCTTTTTTTTCCATTGTTTTTACTCAGTGATTTTTTTATTGGTGTGCCATCTTTTTGCTATTTTTATAACGAATTGATACAATTATTCTATGTACTTTTAACTGTATTTCTATTCATCTCACACAACCTTCCAATCATGTTACACCAACATATAGAGCAAAGAGCGTTTCTATGATACTTTACAACCAGGAACTAACTGTGTGCTATATGTTCCGACTAAGGTAACCAATAAGCGGTCCAAGCAAGAAGTAGGAGCTACAGTACTAAAAACGCATGTATTTTTGTGCTGCCAAAGCTCATTGAAATAAAATTTGCATAATAAAGCCGAAGATCGCCCTGCTCTTAACAAGTACACTCGTGTTGTCTAACTTTGTGAAAATAAAAACATAAGATTCATTTTACTTGTCAATTGCAATATTACTATCATGAAAGTAGAACTCAAACAAAAGTGTTGGCACGATTTAGTAATAATTCATTCTGATTGCAAAGTAGCATTTGTAACCCTCTCACAGAGAGAAGCAATTGAAGAAAGTCAGAAGGTGGAAAGAATACTATCTCGCTCCCGTACCTGTCCTGGTCACAGGCTTCGTGACAACGGTCTGTGTAATACGCTGTCTATGACAAAAGTCAGGGGCGCTTTTGTCCCCTCATTTTTATAACAAATGCTTACATGACTGCCGAATTTGATGGATGACCGTGGTTGACCAAGGCTGTCAAACCATCACTAATTAACTAAATAGCTTAACTTCTTACTTTCACGAAGTAACTATATCTCTCCTTAATTAAATATCATTATATTCATAACCAAGTAACACATTACCTAACGGTACATATATTAAATATATATAACTATTTCATCAAAGACCAATAAGTGTTATAAACAAGGGCAAACAACCCAGTATGGTAATCAAGGCAGATAACTCTTTATTTCCCTTAAAACAAGGGCAGATAACCCTTGCATAGGGTTACACATTACTAGATACTTAAAGAGACTAAATGCTTAGATATTCATTTCATATATGGAAAAAGCATTATAACATTTAAATATCGGTTTAAAATTATGTACTGTCTGTTAATTATAATATCTTAATGTTTGCATAACCATTTTATTAACAACGTCAACAAATCTAACCCAACACCCAACACTGATTCATATCATTATCGTTCGGAGAATGTATACAATGTCTTTGCGCGTGCAATTCTAGATTCAGATTAATTCAAATTAATATATTTCGCTCTGTAACGCGTATAGAGTGAAACAAGGGGTCATTTTAGAAAGTAATAGTTGAAATTTGGCTGTCAAGTTAAGTTTTGGCTTCTTGCATAATTATACATAGTAAGAAATCATATCAAAATGCCGGGTTAAAACGAGGCTCCGAAAGCTCACGTGATGAACTCGGCTATCTCCGATCAAAATAGCGATAGGTGGGAGACACAACAGCGAGTGACGACTAGCGTTAATTTAAAGCCGATAATCTTTGTAAATTTCTCTCAGAGAGTGTTATAATTATGTGAAGAGTCTAATTTTAAGTAATGTAATGCTTGCCCGAAATCAAAATAATGAAATCTAACAATTACTCCCTTTAATCGATGCTAGTCTAGCATTGAAACATCTAACGTTTGAAAATGAGCTAGCATCCCCACCATCTTTCCCTTGTATGGCTGTACATGTATATATAAACACGATTATAGCAACTATTGAAAAGAAGTTCTGATATCACAGCCAATTACAAAATTAGTCACATGAAAGACATTTCGACTCAACTGTTACTTTCATTGTATATTTCGAATCGGTATCTTTTCTGTTTAATTCACTTTCCAAATAAACGGAATACGTACATGTGTTTTAAATTACATAGATAGACGAGACAGTGACATTACATGTACCTACCTTGAACGATGAGACGGATCCTTTTGATGGTAACAGGACGGGTGTTGATTGAACACATGTAGTCCCCTCGATCTTCATACTTTACACTTCTGATGTGAAGGTTGTAATCCCCCATAAAAGGTCGTTCTATACTCATTCGTAGATCATTTATAAAACGACTTTCCTTATGACTTACAACGATACGCTTGGGGTTCAACCATACAATCTGAAAATACAAATTGTAAGATCAGATCAGTTTTGTAGATATACAAATAAAGTTTTATATTAAAGTACCTTGAGAAACAGGCACTTGTTATATCTGTACTTGTAGATAGAGCAAAGAAGTTACCACAGGACATATAAGCATGCCTAAATCACTTACGTGATGTAGCGTTTCATTTAATGGATCTGAAATAAGATTAATTAGTTGAAACGGACAAAATGATAGTATGACGTGTTTTCCTTTTTTGCCCTTTAGTATTAGTGTATTTGCAAACCGTCACCTTCTCCCCCCAAAATCCCCCCTTTTATGTTAATTCTGTTTGGCGTTTTCTTAGTTTAGTATTGTTACAACATCCGTGTGAAATAGAATAGTACAGCATACCATGTACTGGTGCTTTATTTGATTAAGATACTTCGTAACGGTTATGATTTCCGACTTTTCTGATACAAGAATAAACGACATCTCAATAACTATTTACTTATATGGTAGTGGATATGTTAATACTCAATAACTATTTACTTATATGGTAGTGGATATGTTAATACTCAACAACTATTTACTTATACGGTCGTGGATATGCTAATACTCAACAACTATTTACTTATATGGTAGTGGATATGTTAATACTCAACAACTATTTACTTATACGGTCGTGGATATGTTAATACTCAACAGCTATTTACTTATATGGTAGTGGATATGTTAATACTCAACAACTATTTACTTATACGGTCGTGGATATGTTAATACTCAACAACTATTTACTTATACGGTCGTGGATATGTTAATACTTATTATATGGTAGTGGATATGTTAATACTCAACAACTATTTACTTATACGGTAGTGGATATGTTAATACTCAACAACTATTTACTTATACGGTCGTGGATATGTTAATACTCAACAGCTATTTACTTATATGGTAGTGGATATGTTAATACTCAACAACTATTTACTTATACGGTCGTGGATATGTTAATACTCAACAACTATTTACTTATACGGTCGTGGATATGTTAATACTCAACAGCTATTTACTTATATGGTAGTGGATATGTTAATACTCAACAACTATTTACGTATACGGTCGTGGATATGTTAATACTCAACAACTATTTACTTATATGGTAGTGGATATGTTTCAATAACTGTTTACTTATACGGTAGTGGATATGTTAATACTCAACAACTATTTACTTATATGGTAGTGGATATGTTAATACTCAACAACTATTTACTTATATGGTAGTGGATATGTTAATACTCAACAACTATTTACTTATACGGTCGTGGATATGTTAATACTCAACAGCTATTTACTTATATGGTAGTGGATATGTTAATACTCAACAACTATTTACTTATATGGTAGTGGATATGTTAATACTCAATAACTGTTTACTTATACGGTAGTGGATATGTTAATACTCAACAACTATTTACTTATATGGTAGTGGATATGTTAATACTCAACAACTATTTACTTATATGGTAGTGGATATGTTAATACTCAATAACTGTTTACTTATACGGTAGTGGATATGTTAATACTCAACAACTATTTACTTATACGGTCGTGGATATGTTAATACTCAACAACTATTTACTTATACGGTCGTGGATATGTTAATACTCAATAACTGTTTACTTATATGGTAGTGGATATATTAATACTCAATAACTATTTCCTTATATGGTAGTGGATATGTTAATACTCAATAACTATTTACTTATACGGTAGTGGATATGTTTATACTCAATAACTATTTGCTAACACGGTAGTGGATATGTTTATACTCAATGACTGTTTACTTACACGGTAGTGGATATGTTAATACTTATTTACTTATACGTATATGTTAATACTTATTTACTTATATTTTATGTTAATACTCTATTTACTTATTTAGTTTTTGAATAACACGTATATATAACTGAAGTCATGAAGACTGTCATAAATGTAATGTCGTTATTATCATCACATTGGGAACTATTCTATTGCTTTGTGCAATATGAAGTTATCTGTGCTTGTTGCTTGTCGCCATGTCTAGTAACTCTATAGTTGGATTGAAGTTAAATGCCGATTTTATCATATGTGTACTATACCGTATTACGATATTAGCTTCACTGTTTTAAGTATATATACGTGTTTATGGTGATTACTAATCATTCTTACGATAGTCTGGTCCTATTTATCTATCGCTTGAAACTTTTCAATCAAAGATGCCGGGATTACGCCTACTAGAATACACAGTCGTTTGTTTGGTTCGTAAAATAAACTGAATCAGATTGCTTTACATCTAGAAGCAAACATATAAGTCTGGTTTATAGACAAACAGTCTTAATTCTTATGTCTTTCAGACAGGCTAATGTAACGGCCATATTAAACGAAAATCAGATACTCAACCTTTGACCAAATACAATCATTAATTCAATTATTGAAAAGAATTTGTATCTTCCATCTGAATTTGTATTTAATTGACAGTAATAAATATGTCATATCATGTCAAATGAAATATGGATGTTATTGTGGTCCGGAGTTGTGGTTTGGTCCTAAATGCAATTAAGTAAGGACAATAAATTGCTGGAATGCTCTTCATGGAAATATTCGGCCACTTGAGACGCATGTTAGAAAGCTATATCGCCTGTAATTGGGTCTATATTACACACACTCAGTTATTATCGAAAAAGCATCATCCATCAAAAATTCCGAACATAAATCTACCGAAGAATAACGTCACTTCCGGGAATTTATAACATATTTGCATATAATAGTGTACGTTAGAAATACTTTATATTCAGAAAGGATAAAACGATTTCCGATTGAAGGGAGAGATTGCTATTGCTTTCAGATATCGGAATACTTTTAGAAAAGAGGGACAAGTGAAATGATATGATCTTGAAACCGTAACATTTTCTGTCGAATATTATACCGCGCCGGAAGGAAACGTGACATTAGATCAGTGATTTGTGACCAGATGGTATTATAGAGTCGATGTGAATACTCGCGGAAGACTCCATTATTTATCTGTTATCCAGATTGTATTCCTATCGACTGCATACAACACCTATCATATGTTAATAGTTTGATAAACATCAAGAAAATATCAACATGCGAACGTAATCATAATCCTAACTCAAATTCCATAAAACTAGGGCAAAATATGAACAAATGACAGATTTACACGGATGCTGCTGAACTACATGGGGAGTAAGGGAATATAAGTGTCTTCTGCCTCATCGACGACACCCGCTATATAAACATTGGTCAGTCAAAGTAATATTGTCATGTTCTCAAATGAGAACAAGGTGTACAACAACGGAACCAACAAGCAAACATTAAACATGTCTAGCTTCATTTTGCTAAAAGAAATTGAATATTTCTCAATGAAATCACTATGGCGACCATAAAACTTCTCCATAATTTCCATCAACTTGCATCATTTGAAACCCTGTGTTAACAATTTGTCCGTCAGTCGACGACTTCAGCGTTTGTATTTGTAGTTATATATAATTTGCATTTACCTCAAAACCAAGTTAGCAAGTCCGTGACAGGCAGCAACCTTGATAAACAGGTAAGCATATACAATAATATGACAATAGAGTTAGAAATTGGAAATTTACTTAAGCATTTTACTTTTTTCCTATGTTTTGAATAAAAGCTATTTATTAAGCATTGCTGTCTGATTAAGACGTGATGCGGTTCTCAATAATATTGCATAGAGCGACGTGTCTAGTGTCACTGTAAGAATATTTACATTCCCATGTCGTAGACTTGAGCTATTTTCAGAATGAAATAACAATGGAATTCTGAATGGAAGTCGATGTCAATAGGTAACAACGATCACGAGGGCAGTTCGATTGCTACGGATTTCATATGTGGACCGTCAAGTCGACGCCAAGCAATCGAAGCTTAGAAATTTAGTAATCTTCTAGGTTTTGGTACTAACAGGCGTTGTATGGCAAATTAAGTACTTCACAATTAATATGTTCTGTCATATTTTCATAGCTTTGTAAGGTTAGTTTAATTTTGGTGCAGGCTTCCACCAATTCATCAATTGTAGTATATTGATACTTAAAACACCGGCGGCTATTTTTGTTTGCCTGGTAGACATATAAATGTATTCCTATGTCACAGGACTGTATTTAAGTGTTGTAGATTGACTTGTGTTTCGTATGTTTTCATTTGTTTAATCAATTAATTAAATCAAATGCAATTGGACTTAAAATTTATTTTCTTGCCTTCATTGGACTTTTCATTTAAATCTCAAGCATTTGTTGGACATTTGATTAATTTCTCATGTTGTTCTTTGTTTATTAACAACTCTTGGACTATTTTTTTCTTTCATCTTCAACAGTTTGAAGTCATTTCACTTTGCCTTCAAGTTCTTCTGCAGCACCTATGGACCCTTTATACGATGGTATTGTTTATTAAATTGCTTAAACATGTCGGGCCGAGAAATTAAAAACTATTCTGGAATCTCTGAAAGCTTTCAACAAGTGGTTGGCGGATTATGCGAAAAAAGGAGCTGTGCCTAAGACAGATGGAGTCAGTAGAGATGCTACTGCCCAACCAGACCATGTTGATATTCTTCCCCGTGTTGTCACGCACCATCAGCGACTAATAATTTCACAATTTTGCGGATTTGGAGCTGATACGTCGTTACTTGCCAATTTTGCCAAGATGGAGAGCGTTTATGGAGCTGTAGAATCCCATGAATCACTACTCGAGAACTTTTACAGCACTAAACATCAAGAGGATGAGGATATTCATCGTGGGGATGTAGGCTAGAGGAGATCCTCGTCAAAACCAAGCAGAAAGGTGAGGTAGGATCTGGAAATTTACAGGAGACGCTGAGATCCAAGTTCTGGAGTGGTTTCATCGACTCTTACGAGACATGTCTGGATACAAGTTTGATTCCATAAAAGAGTACGATAAACTCCTAAAAGCTATTAGACAGATAGAGTATGACTACATGGACAAGAAGTAAAGTAAGAAGC